GGCGTGCCCGGACCCAGGCACAGCTCTCACTCAACTTGATACCCTTCCCTTCCAGAAATCCACCAAAACCTCCAATACCCCTAACTCTCATCTTGCCCAAAGCATTCTCTCCGCCGGATTCCCAGAATTGGAATCCCTCCGCGCCCCTAATGACGTGGAACCCCCTGGCGCGCTCCAGGCTGCCTGCCGGCCCATCTTAAAGGGACAGGCTTTGCTCCGACCAGACCGATACAGTCTCCCTCGCAGCTCACATGGGTCTGTCAATACTCGGCCGCTCGCTCTGCCAGCCGGTAACAACCTAACCTCTGCTCGGATCCGCGCCCAAACATTCATTGACATGGCGGCGAAAGATACAGAGGCAGGGATGCTAGTGCTGATCCAGGATTACTCGGACGGCTTTGTGCCCGACAATGCGCAGGCCACCCAATTTGAGGACGAGCCCGAGCAAGAAATGGACGATTACGGCATCTGGGCCGCCTGCGAGCGATACAAACACCAGGAAAACAACCACGAGGGACCAAAGACAGTGTATGAGTTCCACATGCCAGCCTTCATGGGCCGCAGCGGCGTTAGAGATCCCGCAACCGGTGCCTCAATTCCTCACTTCATCCTCCGCCCCGACATCACGGGCCAGGAGGCTGACGGTGGTTTGATTGGGTGGAAGCAACTTCTCGCATCGAACCAGTCCCTCTCATACGCCGCCGGGGTAGGCGTCAATTGCTTCGAGAAGGGCCCAAGTCCTCCCATCCCACCCCTTGAAGAGGTTGCCTCGCCTTCCTCTAGCACATCCCGCTTCGGCTGGGGCAGCTTGAGTGGTCGGTCGGTTATGGGTACCTCTCCTTCGACGCCTATCACTCCGATCACACCTATGAGCAGTATGTCTAGCCAGGCATTGCCATGGGAAAAGGATACCTGCACCGGTTCCTGGAACCACAAAACGGGCCGAGAGTGGTGGTTCCATATGGAACGTGATCGTCCGAGCAATACCGAGCTCATTGATATCAAGCAACTTTTCTGATTTGCTTTTTACTCCTCTTCTTCCCTCTTTTCGATTTCTTGTCAATACTTTCATACGTTATATACCCCGCACTTGTTCGATCTCTTTTTTCTACCCCAGTCTCTTTCTTCTATTTGGGTACTTTCTTATTGTACATGTTTATGATACATGCGCTGTGTCAGATGTTGGGGCGTTGCATAATGGTTCATCCGCATGACACGGATCTATTGGTTTTTATCTCATTTGGTCTGTATCGTCATTCCAGTGGAGGGTTAATAGGCCGCATTTGTGTTTTCTGTTTGAGTCTGTGACTCTCTGTATCATATTGTACAGCAATAATTAAATGTAACGTTATAGCTTCATATGCATAACTCGATCTATCAAATTGGACTAAATTGGAACTATAAATACTCACGTGCCCAATGACTCATCCGGGGCAGAATCGGACCGATAAGTGGGACTGATAAGCATATACAAAGAGCCCCTCGTTGAGAAAAAATATCCCCCACATTTGTCCCTACACTCATTCGTCGCAATGGATCCCGGAAAGCCTGTTGATCTGCCCGAGAGGCCCAAGGAGGCCACTGAGCCCACAGATCCGAACAAGAAGTCCAAGAGCCAGCTCAAGAAGGAGGCGAAGGAGCAGGCCAAGAAGGACCGCAAGGATCAGCCCAAGCCTGTCAAGGAGAAGGCCCCCAAGGCTCCCAAGGCCAATGCAAAGGAGCCTGCTGCTCCCCGGGACCCTGATGCTATGTTCAAGGTCGGTTTCCTGCAGGACGTCTACCAGGAAAAGCCGCTCTCCGAGACTGTCCCCAAGATCCGCACGCGATTCCCGCCCGAGCCCAACGGATTCCTCCACATTGGTCACAGCAAGGCTATTGCCATTAACTTTGGATTCGCCAAGTACCACGGCGGCGAGTGTATCCTGCGCTTTGACGACACCAACCCAGAAGGCGAGGAGGAGCGCTACTACAATGCTATCCGTGATATCGTGAGCTGGCTGGGATTCAAACCTGTGCGTGAAACCTGCGCCAGTGACAACTTCGACCGTCTCTATGAGCTTGCCGAGGACCTCATCAAGCGTGATGGCGCATACATCTGCCACTGCACTAAGGCCGAGATCAAGGTCCAGCGTGGAGAGGGAGAGGGCGGCCAGCGCGGCGGAGAACGCTTCGCTTGCAGTCACCGCACCCGTCCCATTGAAGAGTCCATGACTGAGTTCCGTGCTATGCGCGATGGCAAGTACAAGGCCGGTGAAGCTGCTTTGCGCATGAAGCAGGATCTCACAGACCCTAACCCCCAGATGTGGGATCTGTTTGCCTGGCGTATCATGGACAGCGAGGAGAAGCAGCACCACCGCACTGGTGGCAAGTGGAAGATCTACCCCACCTACGACTTTGCCCACTGTCTGTGTGATAGCATTGAGGAGATCTCGCACTCTCTCTGCACGACTGAATTCGAGCTTTCCCGCGTCTCGTACGATTGGCTCTGCGATAAGCTGGAGGTCTACCGTCCCAACCAGCGCGAATATGGCCGTCTGAACATTACCGGCACAGTCCTCTCCAAGCGCAAGATTATCCAGCTTGTCAAGGAGGGCCACGTCCGTGACTGGGACGATCCCCGCCTGTACACCCTCATCGCCCTCCGCCGCCGCGGTGTTCCCCCCGGCGCCATCCTCTCCTTTGTCAACGAACTCGGCGTAACAAAGAACACAACCAACGTCCAAGTCGCCAAGTTCGAGCAGGCCATTCGCCAGTACCTGGAGACCACGGTGCCCCGTCTAATGGTCGTCCTCGAGCCATTGAAGGTCATCATCGACGACCTCCCCGACGGCCACGTCGAGCTAGTCGACTCCCCCTTCTCCCCTAAGGACCCCTCCTTCGGTACCCACAATATCCCCTTCACAAAGACAATCTACATCGAGCGCTCCGACTTCCGCGCCGTCGACTCGCCGGACTACTTCCGCCTCGCCCCCGGCAAGACAGTCGGTCTCCTCAAAGCCCCCTACCCAATCACCGCGACCTCCTTCGAGACCGACCCAGCAACAGGCGAGGTCACAGTCGTCCACGCCAAATACGAGAAACCCGCCGAAGGCGAAACCGCCAAGAAGCCCAAGTCCTTCATCCACTGGGTCGGCGAGTCCGCCGAACACAACAGCCCTATCCGCGCTGAAGTCCGCGCGTTCAACTCGCTTTTCAAGTCTGAGGATCCATCTGCGCACCCTAAGGGTTTCCTTGCTGATATCAACCCCGATTCTGAGGAGATCTATAAGGATGCCATGGTTGAGACTGGTATCGTGGATATTTCCAAGTCTGCGCCTTGGCCCAAGGCTGCCGCCGAGGACGATGTCGAGAACAACAAGCACTGTGTCCGATTCCAGGCTATGCGTAACTTCTACGTCTGTGTTGATCGTGAATCGACTCCTGAGAAGCTTGTGCTTAATCGCATTGTTACGCTTAAGGATACCCAGGGTAAGAATTAGATTTGTTGGGCTTCCTTATCTCGCTGGAATTGCCTGTTCTTTGAATGTGCCTCTGGCTTTTGTCTTTTAAATATCATGTTGTGGTGTGAGTGGGAGTGTGTTTCGGGGGTGACTATGGTTGTTATGGATTTATGACACTTGCATTTTGTTTCAGCTTATAGGTTTTCAAATATGAAAAACATATCATATACATATGCACAAAGCTCAGAAAGAAGAAGATCGTGATAGTATTTGATCTGGCCACGGACGTTGTCATGTTCAACTCCTCCGCGAACGATGTCTCGTGTGATCGGGTTCGCATGGCATACCAGGTGGAATCTCTCTAGGTTCTTCATGTCCACGTTCTAGATTTGGTTTCTGTCAGCTGGTGTGATGATCGGCCGCAATACACCAGTCTGTGAACGCTGTCGGGTATAGTTCGTGTGGGATATCGAACAAGGACTGGCTGACTGAGATCTCTCGATCTCATGTAGTGATCAACTGAAGCAACCAGATGCAAAGCCTCGATATGCCGTTGGCTGGCATCACGATGTACCTAGCGTAAGAAGGTTGTTGCCTTCTGCCGGTCAATTAACATTCATCTCCGGTGTAGAGGAGCATGAGGGCACTTTGTCAACCAGTCGTATCCATGACCGATCAGAAGCGAATTTATCCTTGTGGGAAAGCCTGCATCTTTTTGGTGAGAAGCTTGAACGTAAACATGCTTAGAGGTCTATTTACCTTTCGGCTCATTTAGAAAAGTGAAGTGACTATCCTTTTTCCTTGTTACGTTGAGGGTGGTCATGAGGCTGGTACAAAGTCTGGGCACGTATGAGAAATGCGTACTTATAAAGTGAGTGTCACTTACCAATTCAAAAGGCAGAGAATGCTTCGGAGGAACGCAACACCCCTTCAGTTTGAGAGCAACGAAATTGTGGTCAAATTTAGCAAGAGAAGCATGCAAGTTGCTACATCCCTTCCAGCGATAGTCGTGCAATTCCTGCACCTTTCTAGTCATTGCCAGGACACCCACACGCGAGTGTCTTTCGTTTGGCAGTTGGGTAAGCGCATGTAACAAGGATGACAACCGGACTTTCGCTTGAAGCACTGGCCAGGTAGCTCTGACACCTGCCGGTTCTGAAGCGGACCTTTGACATACTCATGACCAGAAACAGGGTCTCGGTCCCCAGTCAGAGCATGAAATGTGTGGCCCATTGTCTGCAATGCATACATCTAAAAATGTATGCCAGGCTAGACATCAGCATTGGGATTCTCTCGGTCGATATGGGTTCGGTCAGCTTGTGAATATTGATAGTTTATGACAACATTGGTCTAGACTAGAGGCTGGCGGAAGTGTTGTATTTAGAAGTCCATAGAATATAGTTCATTGGGGTATGACATGGCATTATGCATGGCGAATTACCGACCTCATCAAGCCGAGGAGCATACATATATGACACGACACAAAAGAAACGAGAAATCAAGTAGAGAGAAAGGCAGGCACAAGAGGACATCAAAGAGCACACTGCTGTCTAGTCTAATCTAAACATAGATGCCCATGTTGGTATCCTTCTTCTTAGCCTGGACCTCAGCAATGGCATCGACATAGTTCTCATGCCCGATCTTGCTAAGACCCTTCCTCAGGGCAATCATACCAGCCTCAACACAAACAGCCTTGAGTTGGGCACCACCGAACTCGTCCGTGCTGCGAGCTAACTCGGCCCAGTTGACGCTGTCCTCAACGGACATCTTGCGAGAGTGAATTTGCAGGATGTTGGCACGGGCTTCCTCGTTGGGCAGGGGGAATTCGATCTTACGGTCCAGGCGACCGGAACGAAGGAGGGCAGGGTCCAGGACGTCGACACGGTTGGTTGCTGCTAGGACCTTGATGCGGTCGTCGGAGGCGAAGCCGTCCAGCTGGTTCAGGAGTTCCAGCATGGTACGCTGCACTTCACGGTCACCGGATTTCTCAGAGTCGAATCGCTTGGTTCCCACGGCGTCCAGTTCGTCAATGAAGATGATCGAAGGGGCCTTCTCCTTGGCTAGGGCGAAGCAGTCGCGAACAAGCTTGGCTCCGTCTCCGATGAACATCTGCACCAGTTGGGGACCTGCGAGCTTGAGGAATGTGGCGTTTGTCTCGGCGGCACAGGCTCGGGCGAGGAGGGTTTTACCGGTACCTGGGGGTCCGTACATGAGAGCACCTGGATATATGGTTAGCATTAAATGAATAAACTGCAACAGAGGATAACACACCCTTAGGGGCTTTGATGCCAATTTTCTTAAAGCGCTCTGCCTCCTTCATCGGCCATACGATAGCTTCCACGATTTCTTCGATCTGCTTATCAAGACCACCGATATCCGTGTACTTCTCCGTAGGCTTCTCGTCAACCTCCATTGCCTTAACGCGGTTGTCATACTCAGCCGGTAGTGTGTCCAGGATGAGATATGAATCCTTGTTGACACCAATGAGATCACCGGGTTTGAGCTTTTCGTGGTCGACGAGACCGATGAGGGGAAGGAAGATAGTCTGGCGAGTGGAGGTCTTGATGACGGCGGATTTGCCTACGCGGGTGGCATCCAGGTCGATATTGGCCCCTTCCTCTGCTGCCTCTGCCTCCACATCGAGATCCAATAGCTCAACGACGTTTCCAACAAGGTATGGTAGTTGTCTATATAAGAGATGAACAAGTCAGTAAAGAAAAAAGGAAATGAGGTTTCGCAGGTTCCGTTACGAAGCTTCGCGAGCCCGCGGAACCGCAAAGAAGACATTCGACACCGCACCTGTTGTTCTCAATCTTCTCTTGATTATCCTTAACCTTCTCTCTCATTGTGCTCTGCTCGTGTGTCAAACGCTGGAATTCGCTTTTCATGATGCGCATCTCGTTCTCCAGCATCCGCCGCCGCTTGACAATGTCTGCCGTGCTTGAAGTCAAGATCTCCTCATCCAGCAGCTCTTCTTCATCGTCCTTCTTGTCGGCATCTCCCATCTCGGCATCGCCGTCGCCTTCGGGCTTCTGACCATCGCCATCGTTCTGGTCTTGCTTCTTGTCTCTCTGATCGCGCTCAAGGTCGTCGAGGTCCTCAAGAGTCGACATGGTGGGATCGAGAAAATGGGAATTGTAGAATCAGAAGAGATAAAAGACCCGAAATGCAGAGATGGCAGGTCAATAAATTGGAAAGGGATGGGGAGAGATGAGGAACGGAGGTTGCTAGAAGGAAGAGCTGTCGGTGACAGAGCTCCGTTCAACGTCAGCGCCGGGCGTCACGTGATGACCACAGTGTTTATAATCATGGAAGGAGTTGACTTTCCTGACTTATTTATAGCAGAATGTTGATAAATGTATGTGATATTGCTAAATACAGTCCATATACACTCCTTGATCTCACTTTATACAATGCTATTCGGGTTCTCAGGATCGTGACTTGTAGGGATATTGCCAAGGTTGTTCAACACAGCTTCACGGCCATATTTGAGCAATCGAAGCCGGGAAATGAAGTCATCATTGTTGACTGGATTTAATTAGTATCGTGAATTAAAATAATGAGGTTAATACGTACCATAACCCCCACACATCCGTCTCTTCCCAGTAAATTGGGAGCGACCATGCATCATTCTCCAGTTATCAAAGACTAAAGCAAAACAGTTAGCTAAAGAGCGACGATCACAATACCCCCCACAGAAACTCACTCAGTGCTGTTCCAGGTTCAAGTTGCGTCCAGATTTCCCTGCTTTGCAGAATCCGATTATACCGGCGTGCCGCGCTGTACCATTCCAACTGTTCGGCTGCCGACCAGTCCACCTTCGGCGCGCGATCATAGTTGTTCCAGCGAATCTGATATACCTGGTTCAGATCTGGATGGACAGAAAGAACAGGTGCCTGGGCGGATGGTTGGATGCAGGTATCGTCGTTTCCACTGGCGTGCCACGGGTGCCTGTACTTTATTAAGGCTTCATAATAAGAAGGATTCTCCGCGCGCAATATGTCAGCTGCTTCGATTCCGTCAACGAGCAGACTAGCACCTCCATCGCCATCGGTATGGGATAGTAGGTGGAATAGTTGAAGCCTTGCTGGGTCTGTGAAATATGTGTTGTCTGTATGGGCACCCAGGAGTTCGTTGGTATAAGCAGTGTCCTTGAAGGTCAAGTCGGCTGTGAAGTCCCAAAAGCCACCTAGAATTTGTTTATTAGTACATTAGAAGGAGAGCGAGGGGTGTTGAAATGTACCATAATGAGTATGTCTGATAAATGCAATCCGTTCGATGAGACCTTGAGTCGCTTCTGGGGCAACAGGGACACCTGACACGAAACAATATCCTTTCTCCCACTGTAATATATATTAAAAAAACAATCTTCTCAGGGACAGGAAAACCGGTCAAATGAATATAGGGCCACTTACAATAAGTTCCAACCATTCCCGAAGACGAGACTCGTCCGACATTACGCCTTCGTAGGAGACCGTGGGGTATTCTCTCTTGGTGAGAGAAGTTGGGACAAATGACCTTCTTGAGTGTCAGCAATCTTCAAAAGACTTGTCTTTGATATGGCTGCAACTTTACCTGACAGGTGGTGGGCTGCAGTTAGGGTCTGCCATCGCGGGCGAAATCTTAGCACGGGCTCTGATATCACTGCCCTGAGCATTTCCATTTCGGTTTTGCTTGTGCGGACCAAGCCATTTCCACGGATAGATACCCAGGTGCTCATCAGACCCTATGCCTGCGTTAATACTGATAATCCTGGTGCTCAGGTAAATGCTTCCTTACATTTCACCTCGAGAGCTTCGCCCTTGGACTCGAATGACAATGCATGAACGTCTTCCGAAATCTGTAGAGATCGTACCAGAAAGAATGAGCATGTATGTGAGGAAGTTGAGCACGAATTTTTCTTACCGCAAAAGTGTCGGCTGCTCTTTGCTTTGTGTCTGGATGGATACACGCTGAACATTGGCAATTTTCTCTAACCACAGAATTAGACTTTGTGTTGCGATATCACCTTCTAATATGCAACCAGTCACTAACCTGAGGAAGAATTGGCCACTGCAACAAGTTAGTATACGGCAAAGTCTATCCAAGGGCATCAGACAGCGATCAACTCACAACTCTAACTTGTGTTTCTGACCCGCTGTATCAACAACATCTTGAATTGCCACGATACTTGGCGTGGACTCAGACAGAACAGGATCTGACCGCCGCTCAATCTCAGGTTTGTTGTCATTTTGAGCCTTGAAGCCCATGAACCTCAAGGATCCAGGCGCGGGATTTCGGTAGTTAACCGCCTATGAGGTCAAACCGAAGAGATTGAGTTAGTTCCCTAATGGACAATATGAGCCGATATCAGTGAATCAAGAACATACCAGACCACCAGGCGGGGCAAAGCGGGGCCTGATTTCGACGACGTTAGCTCTTTATATTCAATACCCGGATATAGATCCTCTTACCTGGCCTGTTTCCACAGCCTAGTCGACCTGAGTGCTGCACGCCAGCTTAGACTCATGTTTGGCATAGAAAAGTGGGCTATCGAAGGTTGAGAAGATCAATTGAAGGTCATCGATCAGATCCGGGGTAGCATTTATGAAGCCTAAGCGGAGCATCAGCCGAGGTGACAACGTGGTCACGTGCAAGGATTAAAGGAACTATAGCAGCCTCAAAGAATGAAAGGCGTCAATTTAGGATTATAGCTTTACAGACAATATGTTTTATTTATTGTTCGTGTCTGAAAACTAGATGCCGAAATATGGTTTGCAATATAAACTCACAGCTTGCTCTTGACACCACCAACCACCTTCAACAGACAACGTCCATTGCTCAGAACAACCTTACCCTTGTCATTCTTAGTAACAAAGCGAACCTCCTCAAAGCCATCTTGGACATTGCCCATCTTCCACATCTCTGTGGTAAGCTTATCCCCAGGCCGAACGGGCGAGGCAAAGCGGGCCTGGAACTCCTTCATATTGGCAGGATCGCTGCCACCCAATTCGCGCAGAACACCGTGCGCAGCAGAGTTCCAGCTGAAAAGGCCGTGGATAATAGTACCGCCGAAGCCCATCTTCTGACCGGGCTCGGGTGTGGCGTGGAGAGGGTTGTAGTCGCCATTGAGACTGATAGGAGTTAGTAACCAACGGTTTATTCGATTGCACCTTTCATGCAAGATATTTGAATGTGTCCTTGCCATATTTTAGACTTACCGGTATAGGTGGGCTGTCTCCATGTTGCTCTGAATAACATGGGTAGCATCGGGAGCCTTGCCCTGGGGTGGGGCGAAGTTGACAGTGCTGGGTCCTGTTCGAATAGGTTAGTATACATCACACATTATCTTGAGAAATCCGTGATCTTACCCTTGGGACCACCCCAGCCTCCTTGGCCAACAAGGAAGCCACTGGACACGACCTTGGAGTATACCTCGCCAGACTCCTTGTCCACGATAGACTGCTCGGTCTCAATAACAGTACCGGGCTTACCCTTATCATATACACCAATAACAGTGTTGCGCAGCTCGAATTTACGGCCGGCGCTAGTGGCAGGAAGCGGCTTCAGGACTGTGAGCTTGCGCTGGCCATCGACTCCAAAGCGGTGGTCGAGGTCGGGCACTCCGGGAATGTGGACGGCCTTTTGGCGGCCATAGAAATCGGTGACTTCTTGGTCAGTGAGCTTGAAGGCTGGTAGATGGGACGAATATTAGCGCGAGAAATGACAAGGTCGGGGGTATGGTTGACATACGAAGGATGAGAGAGTAGGTAGGGAACACTGCGAAGTTCGGGTGAAGTTCCTAGACACCAATCAGATCTGCGATTCGGACTAATAGCCATGAAGCTTACATAGAGGAAGTGCAGCTCGTCGGCCTTGATGCCAATACTGTTGGCGAATAACAGCACGTCGCGCTTCTGCCAAGAGACCTCTTGACGGGGGAATTCGTGACCAGCTCCAGGGGCCGACATTGTATATATTTAGTGAATGAAATAGGGAACTAGGTGAGATATGCCAGAGAAGAAAAAAAAGGGAAAGGCAAGCTAAAGTATCTCCGACAATTGCGGGGGCTATAAGGAGCCGAGGATCTGATAATTCTGGGATGATTTGTTGCCGTTGGTTAGCCGACGCGGCATCTTCTTGGCACAATTTCCCATTGCAGATCAGTGCTGTTTTTACTGAATATTACTTTTAGAGATTTAGAAAGACCACAGAAATCACTGTCCAGAAGAAGAGCGTCGGAGTTTGCTAGACTAAGCATCGACTCGGGGTATCAGTCTACCTGGAAATTCGAGGAGCTTCACAATCATATCTCCGTACGCGCCGCATAATGCCTTTTCCTGCCTCCCAAGAACGTAACGCCGAAAGAAATAATGGCGAGAATCGCCGTGGGCAATTCCAGACATGCCCATGCCAGAATGCATTGGTGATGAAAGTATTTCCCGTATATTGTGCAAACGTGCAAGTATAACCCCAATATCACGTTAAAAAAGAAAAATTAACACCTGCAGCGGGTTAGAATATTGAGACCAAACACGAATGCTGACCAACTTACATGCGGTAGAAGCAACCACCCTCGGCAGCGCGGGTGACGTCAGAAGTCTCGAACTTGTACGAGATGCCAATGTCAAGGTCACGCTTGTTCTTCTCGTTAGGGCGGTTCTCGATCCAGCCGGTAACACCCTCCTCTTCCTCAACGGTGAGGACATCGCGCAGGTAGAACACGGTCTGCTTCCAGTGAGTGTACTTGGCGTGAGGACCGGTGGAGAAGTGGATGGGCTTGTGGCAGGCGCTGAACTCGATATCGAACCAAGCGATGAGAGCGTGGATGAAGTCGCTGCGCTTGGCAGTGAGGGAGTAGGGGACCTTGAAAGCAAGGTCGGCGGCGGTGACGGTGTTAAGATCGAAAGTGATGATCGGGCAAGGGTCGGTCACAAGAGCCTTCATCTCGACGGTGTCGACAAGGGGCTCGTTGAGAGCAATCTCCTTCATGGGGCTGTAGTCAAAGCCATAGACATTGTCCCAGACTAAAGATGATCAGTAACAGAAGGTGATTAGATCCAGTAGTTTTGCTTACACCCAATCTTGTCGTCCTTGTAGTCACCGTCCTCAATACCAGCAACGTACATGGTGGCCTTGTCGGGGAAAATCAGACCGCCGGGGTTGAGGTAGGTGTCACGAGCGTAGAGAACGGTATCCAACATGGACTCGTAGAGAAGGAAGTAACCCATCCACTCGGAGATGATAATATCAACCTTGGGGAAAGGAAGGTTTACTTCCTCCATCTTGCCCTGGAGAAGAGTAATCTTGTCAGACAGGCCGTTGACGTGAACAATCTCACGGGCCTTCTCGATGATCGAGGACATGTCGACACCGATAACGTGCTTGGCACCAGCGCGAGCAGCGAACCTGTAAGGGAGAACGGTCAATGGCGGACTTGATAATTTGCAAATATCCTAAGACATACATGCTCAGGATACCAGTTCCACAGCCGACGTCAAGGACAACCTTGTCCTTGAAGATGTGGCGGTTCTGGTAGATCGAGTCGCGGTAAGAACGGGTGCGAACATCATCTTTCTGTAGACATGAGACCGATTAGAAAATGCGAATAGCGCCATTCTGCCAGTCAATTTGCACTTACCAGCATCTCCTCGTGGATACCTGTACTCGGGAAAAAGCAATTGTCAGTCAATGTGAACCTGGCATTTGCCATCTATTGGAATAAATTACCGTGGTGATCGTAGCTATAGAATGGTTAGCATCCCAATTCCGAGGAAACTGTCAGAACATCGTACCTAGTGAAGTAGCGCACTTCAGAGTGCTCCATGCCGACCATGCGGTCGGCACTGCTGGTAATACCAGCAGGGGTCTCGGAACCGTTGCTGTTCATCTTGGTAATAAGAAGAACGAGAATGTAAAGGGTGAAGAAAAATGGAAGGTGAAGACCAAGAACAAGTCCCTCTTAACTTTTTTTTTCTGATTATTTGCCTGCCCGCCAAGCTCAACTCCAATCCCCGCCCGCGCTAGCCGGATTAGTATGTCACGTGTAGGCACGGCACGTGATTCTTAGGGCTAGGTGCATCAAATCTATATGCCTATCTACGTGTACTTTTTCAGTTGGTTTTGTATGGCATGTAAGAAGAAGTTGTATTGTAAACATAGATAGAGACTCCAAGTATCTGGTGATATCTTCGTAGCTAGAGCAGAATGGCACGACATCTGCCACACCTTTCTAGGGCTTGAGATAGAATAGAAGTTTGGATTCATGTATGATAACAACAGAGGATGAAACCTCAATAGTCTTCTTCAGAATAACTTTGTTTGTTGAAGAGTATTAATCCCATAGATCAGTGGCTGTGGGGTAAGTGAGCACTGTTTTGATGCCAAGACTACCGAGGGAGGCTCTATGATGCCGACGGGAACTCCGCCCAACTGTCATCTCTTCGAAGCTTACGCGTTTTACGCCAGACACCATGCATCTGGCCGGAAGAGCGAACCTTTACACTCTATTTGCTTTTGTTCTCTTTGCATCACTCATTGGCCGGTCCAACGCGTCATTGGGTGACCATCTGCCTGACTTCAAAGAATGTGTCCAGGTACGTCGTACGTCGAACAAATTAACCCGTGCAGTCGATTAACAAACCTAGGTCTGTAAAACGGAAAATTGTCAGAGTGGCAACTCAGTGCTACGTATGTCCATTATTTATTCCACTCATCTCCCATGTTCCCCTTTTCTGACCTTGCCAGCTCTGCACCACCGCTTGCTACTATGGACCTGCCCTGCCGAATGTGACTATACCTGCCAACATGTCGTTACCGACCGTCGAGTCTCGCGTGACCCCCCGATGATCAACCCGGTTGTTCAATTCCATGGAAAATGGCCGTTCCGTCGACTCCTGGGCATGCAGGAGCCCTTCTCAGTGCTCTTCTCCTTCCTCAACTTCGCCGCGCACTGGCACGGCATGTCTCGCATCCAGGAGTCGATCCCCGCCTGGCACTCCCTGCGCCAATACTACATGGTGTTTGGATATATTGGGCTTGCTAGCTGGAGTTTCAGCATGATCTTCCACATGCGTGACTTCCCCTTGACTGAGAAGCTGGACTACTGGGGCGCCGGCGCCAATGTTCTGTACGGTCTCTATCTGGCCGTGGTTCGAATCTTCCGACTGGATCTCGAAAACACCCAATACCGCCCCACACTGCGTCGCTTCTGGACTGCCATCTGTCTTGTTCTCTACACATTGCACGTTGGATACCTCAGCTTCTGGTCTTGGAATTACACTTACAATATGGCGGCGAACGTGGTGGTTGGAATTATCCAGAATCTTATGTGGACTGGATTCAGTATCTTCCGATACCAGAAGTATCTGAAGTCCTGGACTGCTTGGCCCGGTATGATAGTCGCGTGGATCATCCTTGCCATGAGCTTGGAGTTGCTTGATTTTCCCCCTTGGAACGGATTGATTGATGCCCACAGCCTGTGGCATCTGGGCACTGTGATACCCACTGCTTGGTGGTACTCGTGAGTATTTCCCATCTGATTGATATTTTCATGACTAATGTATCGGTTGTTACCGACAGGTTCTTGATCAAGGACGCACAAGATGATATTGCGGCGCATAGACTGAAGGCATAGACCGAAGGCATGAACACCATTTCGGTTATATATAGAAGCAAGGGTCAACATGTAGCCAAAAATAGTGTCAGTGACATTCCTGCGAGATAACCCCCACTGTAGCAGTTAATTCTATGTTGAGCTCGTCTTATTGCCACGCATTCTGCCGTGTGGTGCCTGGCTTCCCCGCCATTGGCTCACCGCTAGGGCCGTCGCAATAGCCCGTGTCTCACCCCTTCAGCCTTTTTTTTGTTTCAACTCTTCACACCTTTCTTGACAGCTTCAAAGCACCTCTCTTTTCGCTTCATATTCCCCCGGTGCTTAAATTGATCATCACATATTGCACCATGGCTTCTCCGGCTGTCAAGAAAGCGATCACCGAGGCGGCGCTCCAGTACATAAAGCCCGAGGGCCGGTTGTTTGAGTATGGAACCGCAGGAGTAAGTCGCATTGGGGAATACTCTACACAGATGAATAGCTGACTTACCTTTGCCGGATTACAGTTTCGCATGAAAGCGTAAGTTTCTTCACTGACCCGCCCCGCCTCCACGTCCTCCAGAACCCCGCGATCGTCCCTTTGTTGACATTGACGTATTCTGACCGACTCGCCTCAGTGATCTCCTCAACACTGTTGTTTTTGCCGTTGGCTTGCTTGCAAGCTTGCGCTCCAAGAAGCTCAGCGGACAATGGATTGGTGTTATGGTCACTGCCAGTCACAACCCCGCGGAGGACAATGGTGTCAAGTTGGTTGACCCGATGGTATGTTCAGCCCCTCAACAGTTCTATGGAGATATATCTGACTTATTATTATTATAGGGAGAGATGCTCGAGGTAATATTAGCCTGTGTCCAAATTGGGAAAAAATTGCTCACCATAAACAGGCCGAGTGGGAGACTTATGCGACACGACTGGCCAATGCTCCCTTGGAATCGATCGCCGATGTGTACGATGAACTCGTGAAGGAGATCGACGTGAAGATGACCAACCCAGCCCGTGTGGTATTTGCGCGTGATACCCGTGCTTCTGGTTCCCGTCTGGTTGGCGTGCTGAATGCCGCCCTCACCGCAACTGAGGTCGAATTCGTCGACTTCAAGTTCATGACCACCCCTCAGCTGCACTACGTCGTCCGCTGCAAGAACACTCTGGGAACCCAATACGAATATGGTGAGCCCACTGAGCAGGGATACTATGAGAAGCTCGCAAACGCTTTCAAGAAGGTTATGCGCGGCGTCAAAGTTCAGGGTGGCTTGACCGTTGACTGCGCCAACGGGGTGGGTGGTCCCAAGCTGCGGGAGCTTATGAAGTTCCTTTCCGGAATTGATATTAAGGTTGTCAACGACGATGTGATCAACCCTGACAGCTTGAACTTTGATGTATGCCCTACCTGGTCAACAACCCACCCCACACATTTAACTAATCGCATTCATATAGTGTGGTGCCGACTACGTTAAGACGAAGCAGCGTGCTCCTCCTTCATCCAAGGCTGCCCCGCTTGACCGATGTGCTTCGCTTGATGGTGACGCCGATCGTCTGGTCTACTACTTCCAGGACGAGAGCAACATCTTCCGCCTTCTCGACGGTGACCGCATCGCCACTCTTGCAGCCTCTTTCATTGGTGACCTCGCTCGCAGTGCCGGCATTGCCTCAAAGCTGAAGATCGGTGTCGTCCAGACCGCCTACGCCAACGGCTCCAGCACAGATTACATCGAAAAGGTCCTGAAGCTCCCCATCATCTGCACCAACACCGGTGTCAAGCATCTCCACCACGCCGCTCTACGCTTCGACGTCGGTGTCTACTTTGAGGCCAACGGCCATGGCACAGTGACATTCTCCGAGAATGCCCTGAAGGTCATCAAGAACACCGAGCCCCAGTCGCCCGCGCAGCAGCACGCTTTGGAGAGCCTCCAGGCCCTGACCGACCTAATTAACCAGGCTGTCGGCGATGCTCTGTCCGACATGCTCCTTGTCGAGGCCATCCTCGCCCACAAGGGCTGGTCCCCCAAGGAGTGGCTCGGCACTTACACCGATCTCCCCTCACGCCTGGTGCGTGTCGAGGTCAACGACCGCTCTATTTTCAAGGCTTACGATGCTGAGCGTAAGCTCGAGTCTCCTGCTGGCCTGCAGGGTACCATTGAGTCCTTGCAGTCTCGCTACAACAAGGGTCGCAGCTTTGCCCGTGCCAGTGGCACCGAGGATGCTGTCCGTGTCTACGCCGAGGCTGCTAGCCGCTCCGAGGCAGATGACCTGGCCACTCGCGTGGCCAATGCCGTCAGTGAGGCAGGCAGTGCCTAGTGGTTTGTTAAACCTTCACAAATAAGGTACAGACCACTGTTTATCTTGGCCAGTGTGGCTAGCACTGGGCTTGGAAAACGGGCAGCGAAAAGCCTGCGACTCGAGAGACAGGAAATAAGGTCCAGAAAATATTCGAGGTCATTTTGATGCAGTAATGAAATCTATGAGTTCTTTCAAACACCTGAACACTTTGTACTCTTCGTAGGGCATTTATTCATGTATAACAAACTCTTACACCGTACTTTTATTTTATCCCTCTTCCTGATCCATGGCATCACGGCCACGCTTGCCATTGTGCCCGAACTTGCCTTTTCCTTTGCTCCCCTTCTTCTCATCATAGGTCTTCATCGCCTGGATAGCCAAACGCTGAGATTCACCAACACTGTCAGCAAGAAGCATAACCTCATCCTTGGGAGCGTCATATTCAGGCAACTGCTTTCCAAGCGCACCCTCAATCCGCTGCCAGATCTCCACATCATATTGCGACACAAAGCTAATAGCAACACCACTCTTACCCGCACGCGCAGTACGACCAACGCGGTGAATATACGTCTTACTATCAGTTGGCAGATCATAGTTCAGCACAACATCCACAGAAGGAATATCCAGACCACGCGCAGCAACATCCGTCGCGACGAGGATATCCCGACTACGTGAGCGGAACTTGCCCAGTGCACCGAGACGAGCAGACTGCGAGAGTTGTCCATGCAGCGGGATTGCACCGAGACCTAGCCCGCGTAGAAGGTAGGCAACACGCTGTGTCTCGTGGACAGTGCGCATAAAGATAATAGCAGACTGGCCGGTGAACTTCTCGAGGAGGTACGCGAGGTAGACGTCCTTGTGTTTGTGTGGGCGGAGTAGGAAGTATTGCTGTAGCGTGGAGACGGTCTGGTACTTGCTGGAGGAGATAGAGACGCGCTGCGGGTTTGAAAGCGAGGCGCGCTGGAGCGACTCGACCTTTGAGCTTAGGGTTGCGGAGAAGAGGAAAGTGCGGCGCTCGCGCGGGAGCACCTTGAGGATTTTGTCGAGAATTGGGCCGAAGTCCATGTCCAATAGTCTGTCGGCTTCGTCCATTACTAGGTACTTCATGCTGCGGAGGGAGAAGCCCTTTGTGTTCTCGAGGTGGTCGAGGAGTCGTCCGGGAGTGGCGACGATGATGTGTGGCTTCTTGCCTAGTGCGATGGACTGTGGGACCATGTCCATTCCTCCGACGATTGTGGCGCATCTTACTGCGATGGTTGAGCCGAGGTTTTCGAATGACTGGGCGATCTGGTAGGCGAGTTCACGGGTTGGTGCTAGTACCAGGCCGAAGAATGGTTGGGGCTTTTCCATGAGAGCTGTTTCAGCGGTTAGCTTAGCTCTTTTTATAGTCTGATGACCTTGGATTATACATACCCTGTAGGATAGGAAGCGCAAAAGCTGCTGTCTTTCCACTACCTGTTTCCGCAAGACCAATCATATCACGGCCTTGCAAAGCAAGAGGAATCGATTCGGCCTGAATTGGTGTTGGGGCCTTGTATCCTAGGTTTGTGCAAGCTTCACATAAAGCGTCGATGATACCCAGTTCTTTGAATGTCTTCGGCGCACTGGGGGCGACCTCAGTCTCGGAGGTAGCATCTTCGACATCGGGGTCCTCGTTGGCGGGCTCGGGGCCAGAAGCGCTCGCATTTGAAGGGGCACTTTCTTGGACAGGCGCCTCGTGGGCGACCTTGCGCTTCTTGGTGATCGGCATCTTTAATAATCTTGTCTAGCAAAAAAATCGAAGATGTTCATGTCAAAAGAAATAATTTAATGTGGAGCCGCAATATCGTTGATCCGATTCTGCCGCGGAACTTAATTTTTGGAAAAAAAACCTCCAGCTGTTGGACTTGATTGCTATCCATAGATTTTCCTCTCCATTTTCTTTTTTTCAGATTCAAAATGGCCAAGCAGCGTGTCAAGAAGCGCACTCACCAGAAGCCGCAGAATGCGTCGGCTGCTGTCAAGGGTGGCGCTGCCTCAATGGCCAAGACCCCAAAGTCTATGGTCATTCGAGTAGGCGCTTCTCAGGTCGGTACCAGTGTCACTCAGCTGGTTAAGGATGTTCGCCGTATGATGGAGCCCGATACTGCCGTGCGACTGAAGGTATGATTGAGAATAAATTGCTTTTCAGGCTGTGTCTAACAAGATATACAGGAGCGCAAATCCAACAGACTGCGAGATTATACCGTCATGACTGGACCTCTCGGTGTCACGCACCTTATGCTGTTCTCCAAGTCCGCAACCGGCAACACGAATATGCGATTGGCTGTTACTCCCCGTGGACCGACCCTTCACTTCAAGGTCGAGAACTATTCGTTGTGCAAGGATGTCGAGAGAGCGATGAAGCGCCCAAGAAGTGGTGGCCAGGACCACAAGACCCCACCTTTGCTGGTCATGAACAACTTTACCACCCCAGATGCCACCGAAGAGTCCAAAGTGCCGAAGCGCCTTGAGACCCTCACCACCACCATCTTCCAATCCCTCTTCCCTCCCATCAACCCCCAGAGCCAGCCTCTGCATTCAATTAAGCGTGTCATGTTGCTCAACCGAGAGCCCTCCGAAAAGGACAATGACTCATATATTCTGACTCTACGTCACTACGCTATTGCCACAAAGAAGACTGGAGTGTCGAAACGAATCCGTCGCTTGGACCCCAAGGAGATCCGGAATAGAGACAGGAAGGGACATGCCGTTCCCAACCTCGGAAAGTTAGAAGATGCCGCCGATTATCTCCTCGATCCATCTGCCGCCGGCTACACATCAGCCAGTGAAACCGAGCTAGACACCGATGCCGAGGTGGAGGTTGCAGAGAGCACGACACGCCGAGTTCTGAACAAGAGGGAACAGCAGCGCCAAAAGGCCGCAGAGAAGGGACAGGATAAGCCCCCTAGCACCCCTGGTGTTGAAAAGCGAGCTGTGAAGCTGGTGGAACTTGGCCCTCGTCTGCGTCTTCGTTTGATGAAGGTCGAGGATGGAGTTTGCGATGGCAAAATCATGTGGCACGACTTCATCACGAAATCTGAGAAGGAGGTGCGCAAGATGGACCAGAACTGGGATGTTAAGAGGAAGGAGAAGGAGCAGAGAAAGAAGCTCCAAAAGGAAAACATTGAGCGCAAGAAGAAGGAGAAGGCCAGTGCCAAGGCTAATGGTCAGCAAGTTGCCGACGACGATGACGACGACGTTGATATGGATGATGAGGAGGCCTGGCTCAGTGATGATGACTATGACCAGGAGGGAGAGGTTGAGGGCGCCGAGACCGAGGAATCTGAAGCGGACTCAGATGATTCTATGGAGGAGTGAGTGGTTTGAAACCACGACATTTCCTGACAGAAGCTGCTGCTCGGTCATTACGCACTTGGTGGACTCCCGACTAAATCACTCATGTCGTCCATTAAGCACTGTGGTAGGTTTTGCATCAAGCGGAGCCTGCCTTTACATCCCAGGTCTGTGTATATAACACCAGGACCATCCTCACCGTCACACACCCGACAGGCATCCAGGCGTCATTCAGGGTTTTCTACACGTGTAATCGCGAATGTTTGGTTTTCTCAGGATACATGTACATGGAGTAAAGCGACAAAAGTTTTAGGGCATGAAAATATCTTGTGTGGACTTCAATTGTGAACTGGATCTTCGTTGTTAGCGTAAATCATGAACTCCTAGTCTATTTCTTCAGCTTCTCATCAACAATGCGAGAAACCATCTTCTCCAGAATAGCGAAATCCCCACTGGCCGTGCCAGCAAAGTATCCCTGCACACTCTTCTCGACGTACTTGCCGACAATATCAATCTCAACATTGACAAGGTCACCTGCCTTCTTCGACGCAGTAACCACCTTCTCCTGCGTGTAGGCAATAAGCATAACTTCCCAGTATCCATCCTGCCCATCGACAACCTTGGTAACGGTTAAGCTAGCACCGTCAAGGGTGACATAACCCTTCTCAACGACGTACCGCAGGATATCACGGTCCCGCGGCTGCAGCCGGAACACCAACGAGTTTCCATCTGGCGTCACAGAGAGGACTTCCGCAACGGTGTCGACATGGCCCTGTACGAAGTGTCCACCCATCCTGGTATCGGCCGAGACGGCTCGCTCAAGGTTCACGTAGGAGTTCTTCTCCAATGAGCCCAGGTTCGTGCGGCGCAGCGTCTCTGGCGCAACGCCGACTTTGAACCAGGTTTTGTCGAATGCTGTCACCGTGAGACATGTTCCTATAAGAGCGGCGTTTAGTTGGTATTCACATATATGGATAGGCGGGTCTCAAATACCATTCACGGCAATGCTATCGCCCAGGTGCGCGTCGGAGAGGATCTCCTCACAGTCGGAGATGGTGAGCGACGTACCCCCACCCCCGCTCGACGAGGTATCGAGGGGCTCTAGGGCCGTGACGGCTAGGTGGAATATATTAGTCGGGATGAGATCTCCAGATAGATACCAAACTCACTGCCAATTGTTTCAACGAGACCTGTGAACATGGTTGTTTGTGATCTGCAAGAGAAAATACCCGCGGGGTTGACACACCTCGGCATCGGCCGCCGCTCCGAGCGGTGTCGGTGTCGGCGTTTTGGCGGAGATTCACAATTCCTACATTTAACGTGCCTTTCGAGTCTTTTGTGCTTTGTTCTTTGTTTTGCGATTTACATATCTGAAGATGACGGTCGTGCTTAAGCTTCAGGCTGTTGCTCGTCGATCGGGCTCGTGTTGGGGTAGCAATGCCTTGCGACGCACGACGCCCTTGAGGAGCTATTCTAGTGCTGCTTCGGTTGATGGGTCGTTGCCTTTGGCTGGTATTCGTGTGCTTGATATGACCCGTGTTCTGGCTGGTGTGAGTTTTGCTCCTGGGTGTGCTGTATCCCTAGAGTCTAAGCTAACCTCTTTTAGCCTTATTGTACCCAGATACTGGGTGATTTAGGGTATGTTGGGAGCTTTTATAGCTTCAATTGGTTGTCCTTATGGTATTCTAACTGGATGATGTATAGTGCCGACGTTATTAAGGTCGAACATCCTGTGCGTGGCGATGATACTCGAGCTTGGGGCCCGCCCTATGCGAAGTATGAAGATGCGTCCAAGAAGGGCCCTGGCGAGAGTGCCTATTACCTAGCTGTATGTCTTTCTTCAACCACAATAAGACATATTGTATTAACCAAATCCTCAGGTCAACCGAAACAAGAAATCACTCGGTCTGTCCTTCCAACACAAGTCAGGTGTCGAGATCCTACACAAGCTCGCAAAGGAATGTGATGTCCTAGTCGAGAACTATCTCCCCGGTGGCCTTAAGAAATATGGCATGGACTATGAAACCCTGCGAGAGATCAACCCCAAGTTGATCTATGCTAGCATCACTGGCTATGGCCAGACAGGTCCTTACAGCAACCGGGCTGGCTACGACGTCATGGTCGAAGCCGAAATGGGTTTGATGCATATCACTGGAGCTCGAGACGGTGCACCAGTTAAGGTTGGTGTAGCCGTCACCGATCTGACCACCGGACTATACACATCGAATGCCATTATGGCCGCGTTGATTGCTCGGGGCCGGACGGGCAGGGGTCAACATATCGATGCCTGTCTGAGTGATTGCCAAGTTGCCACGCTATCAAACCTGGCTAGCTCTGCGCTTATCAGTGGGCAAAAGGATTCAGGGCGATGGGGCACAGCGCATCGTAAGTGTTGAAGAGTCTTCTATGTCTACATTATACTGATGATTTCCCAGCATCTATTGTACCATACCGAAGCTACAAGACCAGCGATGGAGACATTCTCTTCGGCGGTGGTAACGATAAGCTATTCGGCGTGCTGTGTGACAGGTTGGGCTTCCCGGAGTGGAAGACGGATGCCCGCTTCGTCACTAACAGTGACCGAGTGCAGCACCGGGCTGAGATCGATGGCATGATTGAGAGTACCACTGCTCAAAAGTCTACACAGGAGTGGCTGGATATTTTTGAAGGCAGTGGGATGCCATATGCTGCTGTTAATGATATCCAGGGAACGTTGAACCACAAGCATGGTAAGTCTGGATATCTTATGTGCGTTACGAACGTGAATGTTAACTTGACTCAATAGTCCTAGCACGAGGCATGGTCACCGAGGTTGAACACCCTGCATGTGGACCTATCAAGCTGGTTAATACGCCTATTAAGTACTCCGAGGCAACACCGGGTGTCCGCACGCCTCCTCCTACTTTGGGCCAGCATACAGATGAGATCTTGGGTAGTGTCCTTGACTATGGTGAGGCAGATATTGCTCGCCTGAAGGACGAGGGTGTTGTTTCGTGAATATTTCATGGTTATGAGACATGAATGTCATTTTCTTCTGTATATAGGGAGTCGGTTGCAAACTGTATATATCTCATTAAATGCTTCGTACTTACCCTCAATATACTCTACTCTCTAGGTAGGTAAGCATTTTGGAAATTTGGTATTCTTTCCACATTCATGGATGGCCTGGAGTCATACTGGAGGTAATCAATCAAGAACTTGATGCTGATTGTATACCTGACATGCATAGGATAGAGATTAGTATCGGTCTAAATCTAAGATTACCAAGCGAAATCCAGCTAAAGCAGAACCCTTTCATCGCTTATATTCAGATATATAACCAAAGAATGAGTGAAAGAAAGCTATTTTAATGTTGCATTGAACGTCACGTGACGCTATACAAATGTCTTCCCGACAACATCAATCCATTCAACGGGAGCAATTGAAAGGAACTTGACTATGTTTGCCTCTATGAGACGGCGAAGTCCATTATAACCCTCGAGTCTGAAGGACTCCAAAGCAACATAAATATAGTCTTCTTCCACTTTACACTTTCTTCCCTTTCACTTCACCTCACTTTCGCCTCGGACTTTTCCTGCAACCCATTTTTAAAACTATCTTCTCAACTCGTCACTGAGAATGCGGGTTTCAGCAACATTCATGGACCTCCCCGCTCCAGATATCCATCCGGGGGTTCCCAAGAACGTCCTCGAGGGCCAAATCTTCAACCATGCGGATGTTGCCCAAGGAATTCCCCCTCCTTCCCTTCCATGGGAGCGCCTGGCCCCCGGCGACGCCACACTGAGTGAAAAAGAGACTCCATCTACAGTCTTACAGGCAGTTTCGCAGCAGCGCCATTTCAATAATGAGAACGTGCCTCTCGACGTCCAACACGTTGATGCCGTCGCCACTCCGTCTCCTAACCGAACTCGGTCTGGCCGCTCTGTACAAAAGCCGACCACACATGATGCTGAAAAAGCGGCGATGAAACAGTCTTCTAAATCTGCTAAATTATCAACAAAGAAGCGACAGCGCACGAAAAGCCAGATAAATATCCTTTGCACCAGCTGCAACCGAGGAAACAGCCCCTCAAACAATTTGATTGTTCTATGTGACGAGTGTGACACTCCCTGGCATCAAAAGTGCCACGATCCGAATATTGGAAACGAGGTCATTGAGACCGTGGAAGCTGAGTGGGTTTGCAGCGAGTGCAAGCCGGAGCAACGTTCAGCCAAACGCCAAAAGCACACCTCAACTCGCGGCCGTAAGCCAGCAACGAAGCGGTCTCCTCGGACCACATCGGTTCCTCAAACTCCTTCTCAGCCATATAAATCAGCGGAGCGACAGCAGCTGGTTCTTCCAGCGGCAGGCGCCATGGCTAGATCTAAGTCTCGAGTTGGCGGAGAGGCCTTGTCGGAAGACGAGCGACGGACATACTTGACATCTCTTTCGCACGCGGAACTAGTCGAGCTTCTTGTGGATGCCTCAAGGGATTTTCCTCGATTCCCTATGTTTCCTTCCAATCTACAACCTGACTCCCAGGAATCGGACCAATCTTCTCAACCCGCGACTGCTCCCACCCCCTCAACAAAGACTACCAAAGCCAGCCCGAAGAATGGAGATCGCGCTTTCTCTGTTACTGTTGAGACCCCGGCCACTGAGGAAACTTCAAGACGAACCCCAACGGGGCGTACCCTAGACAGGCGAACTCGTTCAACCACGGGTTCCCCAGACATGTCCTCTGACCCCACATTCAGAGCTGCTAGGGCCGCCACGGCTGCTATCAGAAACGCTTCTTACAATGTCTATGAGGGTGGTAACCCTATTATCAGCTCTCGCAATGGACTTCCTGATAGACCATTGTTTCCCGATGAAGTCTCACGGTCTGAATCTCTTCTCGGAGTATCTCTTTTCGGAGCACCCTCAGCGCCCGTGAAAAACGCTCCAGCATCCGTACAAACGGGTGGCCATCGATCGACTCCTGCACCTCGAGCCTCAATGGCATCTGACTTTGTGGACACTCTGGCTTCCTCAACTCCTGCCGGGGAAGATGTGGGAACCCCATTTAACACAATGCATAAGGCTCCATCTAAGATGATGATGCGCCCGCCGTCGCCAGTGTCATTCTCTGGGAATGACTCTGATAATGATTCTGCAGATTATCGTGCTTATGCTGATGCTGGTGAGGGCTTTAATGCTTCTTTGGCTGTGGATGATCGGGATATTATGGCTGAGGCTGAGGATTATCCTACTTTCAGTCATTCGGTTCGTTGGAAGAAGTGACAGGCTAAGAACCTTGCTAGGTCTTAGCAGTGAGGGTTGGCTTTCAGTCTGTCTTGTATCACCATAGAGAGGCTCATGAATTGACGGGTTTCATTTATTTAACGAGGATCATGGGAGCTTGGGGGGTTTATGTCAGTGTTGTTTTCAATGTATGTTTATCTATGGGTTCTGTCTAGATTTGTTGTTCTGTCTATTTTATTCGTGAGGTGCTTTGCTATGGTCTATCGGCCGGTGTTAGAGGTCTGCTAGGGATGCATTTCTCGGCAAGGGGTTCTATCAATTGAATATATTGTTTTCGGTTTGACTCCTAAACAATAGCATTAGTTTCTTCGCCTTGAACTGACCGTTAAGCCAAGGTCCAGAGACTTATACTATATTTAGCCCTGAAATCACTGTTGTAGTTCATATCTTATCGGCCCCGCAAAACTAAGCGCTTGTCAGGTTCACTTCAATCTTCAATTGTCGACACTACTTGCCCTGTAATGCGCTGGCTATAATGTGTTATATCAACTAACTGCATTATATCGAACCCACACCAGCCTCGGCCAAGGACAACGCAGCCTAAACCGCAGCGCAACTCAAAAACCACCAACCTCACACCATTTCCAACACCCAACACCAACCATCAAACACATCAAAAAGAACAAGAGACAAAAATGCCCCAAATTCAACCCCTAAAAACAACTGCAGACCCCCGACCCCATTCTCAATCCCAAATCCAACCCCCAACCTCAACCCTCTACACAATCGACACCCTCCTAAACATCCTCCAAAAGTCCCTCCTAAACCCCTTCATCGCCTGGATCCTCGTCCTCTGCCTCCGCGCACAAGTGACTCCCCTATCTCACCCATCCTGGATCCTAACAGTCACTTACGCAACCTCCCTAACGATCCTGTGGGTCCTGCGAACAATCAACCAGCGCGTCGCGTATGGGGTGCAACGCACTGTCGATTTCGAAAATGAGGTTGTGGTGATTACTGGGGGAGCTAGTGGGTTGGGGTTGTTGATAGCGCAGAATTATGGGATGCGCGGGGCTAGTGTTGCTGTTTTGGATGTGAGGGATTTGGGGGAGGAGGGTGTTGAGGAGGTTTTTGGGGTTGGGGTTCTGTATATTCGTTGTGATGTTGGGAATAGGGCCGAGGTGGAGGATGCGAAGGGAAGGATTGTTGATGAGGTATGTTTTATATATTTGTTTTTCCCCTGGTTTTCTTGTTTTGGGGTAATATGTTGGGACTACAGGTTCTGATGACTCGTTTTTTTTTAAAAGCTTGATGGATTCTGATTTGCTAACTGTCTCGCAGCTGGGGACGCCGACTATTGTTATCAACTGTGCCGCCGCCAGGATCAATGGCCTTCCATTGCTGGATTTACCGGCGGATGCGTTTGAGAAGACTATCCGCACCAATCTCTTGGCGGCGTTCCATCTCTACCAAGTGTTCCTGCCTGGAATTCTGGAATCGGAAGGTGGAGGTACACTCGTTACGGTCAGCTCGGTGCTGGGTCAATTGACGGCCGCGGGACTATCGGACTATGCAGCAAGTAAAGCAGGACTCAGTGCGCTGCATAAAACAATAGAAGCGGAGATGCGCGGCAATCCGCTAGTGAAGACATTGCTAGTGGAGATAGGACAGATGTCAACACCGCTATTTGGCTGGGTCCGCGCACCGAACCATTTCTTTGCGCCTGTCTTGGAACCGGTCCAAGTTGCCCGCGAGATGGTGACTGCGATTGATAGCGGCCGAGGTGGTGTAATCAGATTGCCTTTGTATGCGGCACTCGTGGATTGGTATGCCGTGCTACCAGCTGCGCTGCAGCGGATTGCGAGGTACGTGAGTGGGATCGATGCTGCCGTGACTCAAAGCCGGGAAGCATCTCGGAAGACAGAGTGATTGGTAGCTCAGGAGCTGAGCGATGTATATATGCGAGGCCGTGGAACAAGCTCACCCAACATGTATTATAGAGCGGGGCGATCTGCTGTTCATTGTACATTTTTCCCACTTGAAGAACTCCTCAATTGCAAGTGTCGGCGCCGAGCCTGGTCGGTGGAGGTGATACCACTGGTCCTGGTCTATTGCTCGCGAGCCAGGATCATCTTCTCACGCTCATGGCTCCTAGGAGCCAAGTTGCTCTTCTTGGTATGCTTGCGCACATTTTCCTCACGCCTCTTAATAGCATTGAGCTCCTCGCGCTTGATCTCGCCGGCCTTCTTGATAGGCTTGGGCACATGACGCTGGCGCTTGATACGGCGGATATCGGGCATGTGTGAGTAGCGCTTGATCAAAGCCTGGTCGTATTCAAGCTTGGAACGTTGGCGAGCACTCTTGATACCACTGCGGTCTGAGGCCTTGGCACGCCACAGACGGACATTACCATCGTCTGATCCAGAAAGGACGTATTTGCTGTCAGGTGTGAAGCATGCGGTGAACACACTATTGAGACGTTAGCATATGATATCATTATAGAGAGCAGAAAGACATACCGTTGCATCCGCTTGGTGTGGTAGATGTCGCGCGAGTGGCCAGTTGCTCTGTTCCACAAGCGAATTGTCCGGTCGTAAGAGGCAGTGACCAGCTCTTCACCAGTTGGGCTGAATTCCACGTCCATGACAGCAGCCACATGGTCCTTCAGAACATTCAGAGCACGATCCATCTTTCTCATGTCGAAGATGTAGGCGTTGTGATCTTCGTTTGCCACGGCAAAGTTGAATGCTTCCATAGGGTTCCAAGAAATGGCATTAGATGCCAGACGCAGGGTCGTCTTGTGGACTGGCGAGGAAGTCCGCAGGTCATACATGATAATGGAGCGGTCGATAGCAGTCGAAGCAAGAATAGACGTCTCAGTCTGGTTGAATGCAACAGATGAGATGGTGTCGACACTGGTCGGCCAGTGCAAGGTTTGCGACGGAGTCGAGGAAGGCCGAGAGAGATCATAAATAGAGATAACACCGGAAGCGGCAGCGAACGAGGGGTGATCACGGTGGTGTGATACACTGGTGAAGGCGCTGTTGCCCAGATAGGTTGCCATCGGGGGTGAGTCGGAGTTCGAGTTGTAAGGATCCCAGAGTTTCACAGTCTTGTCGGTGGCGCAAGACAACAGTTTTCGCTCTGGTGTCCAGCACAGCCCCTTGACCATGTTCTCATGACCTTGGGTGTTCCAAACTTCGCCTTGCGTCGGCAGATCCCATACCTTGACGACACCATCACCACTGCCGCTAGCCAAGCGCTCGAGCGAACCGGGATCCTTTGCCATAGAGTAGACACCGTCCACGTGACCGTTGCCCATCTGGGCAAGGAAAGGAGCAGCAAACATGCGCTCCATCTTGATTGCATTCAAAGCCCGAGTGTATTCACGAGCCCGCTCAAAAGGATGCTGGGTCGGGTCGAGATTCCGGGACTGGCGAACAGTCGAGGACCCGGGGGCCTGCTGCGACGCCGTAGGGCGGGAAAGGGCTTTGATTTTCTGTAAAGCATTAGCATTGCAATCCGGTAGGCAAATTTTTAAGCAAAAATACTCACCATATTGCTGTTGTGAAAACAATGTAGAGAGTGAAAGAAAAACGCCGATGGAACTTTTTTTCTGTTTGATTTGCTAAGCGGGCGGTGAGAGGTCGATGAGCTGCCAGCTTCGAGCTCCCCGTCTCTCTTGACCTGATTATCAACCTCCCTTCAATCCACCATCTCCTCTTGTTTTCTTTTTTTTTAAATCTCTCTCTTTCTTTTGCTCGTCATTTGTCGTCCTCCATCATGTCCTCCAAGGTTTCGCCGCGGATACAAGAAGTCCGCGATCTGGTGAAGCAGGACCCTTCGAAAGCAGCGACCAGTTATCAGAAGATCCTCTCCGAGGGCCCAGGATCTACAGAAGCCTCTTCGCGAGACTATGAACATGCTTTGATTGGGTTGGGTCAGCTGCATCGGGATGCGAAGAAACCGCAAGCCATTGCAGAGCTCATCAAGACCAGCCGGGACACCTTTTCGTCATTTGCTAAAGCGAAGACGGCCAAGCTGGGTGAGTTGCGCATCTAAAAGTTAATAAATCTTTAGCTAATCCTTTTAGTCCGACAACTCTTGGATCTGATCAGCGAAATCCCCAATACCCTCGAACTCCAAGGCAACGTCATCCAATCATGCATAGAATGGGCCATCGCCGAGCGAAGATCTTTCCTTCGACAGAACCTCCAGGCACGTCTGGTTGCCATCTATATGCAGAAGCAGTCCTACTACGATGCTCTCACCCTGATCAATTCCCTTCTTAAGGAGCTGAAGCGCCTGGATGATAAGCTTATGTTGGTGGAGGTACAACTGCTTGAGTCGCGTGTGTATCACGCCCTGGGCAACCAGGCCAAAGCTCGCGCCGCTCTCACAGCAGCACGGACGTCAGCCGCATCTGTTTACACGCCACCCAACCTCCAGGCAGGTCTTGATATGCAGAGTGGTATGCTACACGCCGAGGACAAGGACTTCACCACTTCATTCTCCTACTTCATTGAAGCCCTTGAGGGATATAACTCGCTCGATGAGAATGACCTGGCTACGGCGGCTCTGCAGTACATGCTGCTTTGCAAGATCATGTTGAACCTAGTGGATGATGTCACACAGCTGCTTGGCTCTAAACAAGCGCAAAAGTACGCCAGCCCACGCCTGGAGGCCATCAAGGCCGTTGGACGCGCACACGCCAATCGGTCCCTGGAGGAGTACGAGAAGGCTCTGTCGGACTACCGGTATGAATTGGGCAGTGATGTCTTCATCCGGAACCACCTCCGCCGCCTTTACGACGCCATGTTGGAGCAGAACTTGATCAAGGTCATTGAGCCCTTCAGCCGGGTTGAGCTGGAACACATTGCCAAGATGGTGGGCCTGGACACACAGCAGGTTGAGCGCAAGCTGTCCCAGATGATCCTGGACAAGGTGATCATTGGTGTGTTGGACCAGGGCTCTGGATGTCTGATTGTGTATGACGAGACAGAACGTGACCAGGCATACGACGCCGCTCTGGAAACGATCGAAAAGCTCGGCAATGTGGTGGAAGGCTTGTATACTAACCAGGCATCTCTTCTGGAGTAGAAGAGAGTCTGATGTTAGATGACGGCTCCATAGGAAATAATCGAGACTATGTATTGCACGATTACTCAACGTCCACTTTAAATATTGTGAGAATATCAGTGTTAAAGTAAACTAGTAAACCTTTGATTGATCGTGAAGTATCAAATACAAGTGAGGAGCATTGCGCTGCGTTGAAGTGCGTTGAACATAGTGTTGTTCGCGCTCCGCCGAAAAGGGTAAAGCGCGACGGCAAAAGAATCGCGACTTCGCATCTCCAACATCTCGCATCTTCCCCCCATCGCATATTCCCACACCACCTGTTCGGTGCCCTTTTCTACCGAAAATGCAAGCTCCTATGCAGCCCAATTACGCTCGGGGGTTTCCCCAACAAGCACAGCGGTCTCCCGCTGCGCCCCGTCGCCCCCCAGTACCAGGTACGTCCCCTTTCATCGGTCTCCACTCTAGACTCTAACCTCATATCTCGATAGGCGGCGCAATGCCCGTCCCAATGCCTCAACAGGCTGTTAACCCACAGTACATGCATGCGCAACGCGCCATGCCCCACCCTAACGACGCTGCTCTTCGTCGCAGCCGCAAGCCGACAGACAGGAATCTCCCCGACGGCATTGAAGAGGTGATCATCGGCGAAGGTGTACAGCAATATAAGAACCTCCGCGATTTGGAAAAGCGACTGGATGCAGCGGTTGTACGGAAAAGATTGGATATCCAGGACTCGATCAACAAGACTGTCAAAAAGTACCGGACTATGCGCATCTGGATCTCTAATACCGTCGAGAGTCAGCCGTGGCAAGGTGCCGGCAGCAACCCTGGATCTGGTCGGTACAAGGTCCGCATTGAGGGACGCTTGCTGGATGACGAGACCGACCCTACGGTCCCCGACGATGAGGAGAAGGACGAAGATGCGATGGATCACGACGGCTCTGAGGAGGAGAAGGCGAAGAAGGCCGAGTCGAAGGCCCAGTCCCAACGCTTCTCGCACTTCTTCAAGGCTATCACCATCGACTTTGACAAGCCCGTCACTGCAATCCCCGATGAGGTCAAGCCTGTCCACTGGTCAAAACCAATGCTGCCTCCCAACACCACAACGCCACCCCCGAATGCTGAGTTTGATAGCCTACAGTTCTCGCGCGCCTCCCAGGACAACCTGAACGTCACAATCAGCCTTGTGCGTGACGAAATCCCAGAGCGATACAAGCTGAGCAAGGAGCTTGCCGAGGTTCTGGATGTCGAAGAAGAGACTCGAAGTGGAATCGTGCTCGGAATCTGGGACTACATCCGCGCCATGGAGTTGCAGGAGGACGAGGAGAAGCGTCAAGTGCGCTGCGATCACCGTCTGCGCTCGGTATGTGTATTGAAGTACCATTTTGACCACAATAACTAACTACTTTATAGATCTTCGGCCGAGACCAGATGTTCTTCCCTCAGATTCCCGAAAGTGTCGGACCTCACACCAGCCCAATGGAGCCCATCAAGCTCCCATACACTATTCGTGTCGACGAAGAATTCCACAATGACCCCACACCCACCGTCTACGATATCCAGGTCGCGGTTGAAGACCCCTTGCGCACCAAGATGATGGCTCTCACCCAGAACCCACAGTACACAGCTGGCATGCGCCAGATCTCCTCGCTGGATGACCAAGTTGCTCTGATCGTCCAGGCTCTAACACACTCCCGTGCTCGCCACTCCTTCTACACTGCCCTCAGCAAGGATCCCGTCAACTTCGTTCGCCGCTGGGTCAACTCCCAGCGCCGTGACCTGGAGACGATCCTTGGCGAGGCTACCCGTGGTGGTGGTGAAGATGGTAGCGGGCCTGAGTTCCGCTATGGCGGTAACGATGGACCTTGGGATACTGTTGTTGCCAAGGAAGCTGTGCGGTACATGCTGGCTAAGCCTGAAGCTGCGGGTGTTCGGTAAATTCGGTTCTAGCTGTTCTTTTTTCAATCTCATCTCCAGGCTGCTATTTATGCAGAAGAGATGTAGTTGTGTACTTTTGCTTATCTTTGATCTCGGGCGCTTATGTGGTGTTTGGGCTGGTGTAGCTGGGATGACTGGCAGGATTAATACTTCCAAAATCCGTACTTCAATCTGATACGATGCAATATGATTCTGCTTTTTCGCAAAACGCAAGTTAAATAAGCAAATGGCCAAGAAGCCAGGAAAATAGATTTGGCAACTGCTGTCTACGTTCACCCCGTACCTCATCCCGTGAGAAGTCGAGTGTCGGCATGGACGATGCCCTATACGCCAAATTCTGAGCCGTTTCTCTACACCAAGTATAGACGGATAGATCCAGGCCACCAAAATCAATATGCAATCAAAGCCAGCCCGCAAAACTCCAAGGGAAAGCATACTGTAGCATCCCCCATGATAATGACGATTGACCCGAACATCACTCATCCAACCTACGAGCAAAATGTATGGAAGATGGCGAAGCTAAGAACCCTCAACCTCTCAAGGCAAGATTCTAGTCATCCAAAGACTAATCCAACCGCCCCGCCCCAGACTATCAAGCCCCAGGCAGAGGAACTTTAGCAACAAGCTCTGCTCTCCGCCTGCGCAACTCATCACCAAGACCAGAGTCCACGGCCGAAGAAACCTGCTCCTGCAACGAGGAAAGATCACCTTGCAAGATAGCGCTCTCCTCCTGCTCAAGCTTTGAGGCAGCTTCAAGAACGATATCATGAACGATATCCTCCTTAAGCTGCGCTGCCTTCTCCTCCTCCTTCTTCCCTCCTTTAACAGCATCCTTCGCCGGACTACGGAACCGCTTGAGAACAGTCTCCACCATCTTCGAGAACCAGAAGTAATTCAAGAAGTTAAGAATCAAGTTCGAACCCACGTACGTGACAACCAGCCAAGTCGGCACGCCGCCGGCCGTGTACTCCTTGAACCGGGTGATTTCGGCGTTGGCACGAGCACAGGTCTCGTCAATACACATGCTGCCATCGCGGGCTGGATAGAAGACGAGAGCGTTGACGCTGACGGGTTCTGAGAGCGGCGATGATGCGGATGCGGACCAGGTGTGCTGCAGGGCGTTCCACATGTCACCGTAGACGATGACTGATTGCCAGGTTCCCCAGACTAGGCGGCAGGCGAAGAATGTCGAGAGGAGGGCCATGCCGTTGTACCACTGGGCGCGGCTGCCGGTCATGTTGACCTTGTCGAGGAACCAGTGGATGTTGAGGAATGGGCTTGAGAGCTCGTAGAGGATGAAGGTTGGAGCGTAGTAGTTTAGGAATGGCCTCTGTTGGGGATTCGTGTTAGATATGTGTTGGAGTTGGTGATCGTCGTTTTTATATCAAAATGTAGATCATTCCTGTATAGATCAACTTACAAAGCCAAGGCTGAATACCCATAAGGCGCTAACGGCGTGGAAGAGTAGTCCAATTCCGAACATGCGTACATGTCTAATGCTGACGATTAGGTCGTAGACAAAGTAGCCTACGGCTAGAGCCTGAACGAAGCCGCAGGCACCTGTATATCCGAAGACCCGCTCACCGGAGGACATGGAGTTGCGTTCTTTGTCAACGACCATAATCCATAGAGCGGCGACGTTGATAACAATGCTCTGGACTAGGGAGACAACGTGGATATCCCAGTTCAGCTTAGTTCGCGGGGTGAGCTTGTTGTAAGACTCTGGGAAGAAAATCGGAGAAAGCCATGGCGAAAGGACGGCGTGGATGAATAGGTAGAACGCAAAGGCCAGGATCACCTCGTGGATGTGCTCGGAAAGCGTCGGACTGTTAAGCCAGAGGGCATAGGGCTCGGTAAAGCTCCGTAGCCATTCCGGGACTGGCAGGAAGGGGTCCAACATTGTCGGAGTCCCCTCAGCTGATGTGGGGGAAAGCCCCTGGTAGTTGGGGGGTCGGGGGGGACGTGTTTCTATATGTAGTTGAGAGGATTAACCCCTAACATAGAGACACAAGGAAAGTTGGAAACAAAGGAAACCCAGAGACCCAGGAATAGGAGAAGAGCTCCATGGGAAAACCGGATTGATAAGATGACGGGCAGGCCGAGGTCCGGCCTGAGGCACAAATTGTTGGGACGTCACATGATCACCTGCCCTAGTCATTTATACTTCCAAAAGAGTGATAAGTTTAGTCATGCCCAGGTGTATACTTACAAAGAGCGAGAGTGAATTATTACAGAGTGCCGAGTCTACGATGGACAGGTGAAGATGCTACACTACAAATCTTGTACTCATGATCAAAGTATGAGGGACCTGCTGATTTGGACCACATGAATCTATACAATTTCACTAACGTCACATGAGGGGATCAGAGAAGCCTAGAGGAACGAAAAACAACAAGAGAAGCATTAAACAATACACATTCCAAGGTTCACAAACGAAAGTCATCCAAAGTCATCCAAACCCGAAACACAACAAGAGTGGTATATGAAAAGAACAAAAGGAAAAAGAAAAGAAAAACCCCAACTCCGGAAAACACGACTGTCATCAAACAGCGACATCAGTACCAAGACCGCTGTCGCTAGGCGGGGCCAAAAGCTTCAGGACTTCCGCCTCAGCAGCCAAATTGGCCTCCCTGATCTGCCGGGAGACATCCTCATGACCGTCATCCTCTTCGTGGTCCCCGTTTACAGGATGCTCATCCCCATGCGCAGTATGCGCATCGTCTTCTGACTCGGACCCATCGATGGAGATATCATCATTGTGGTCCTCCTGGTCATGCTGGATAATCGAACTCTCCGCGTCATCGTAGTCATTGTTGGAGGTCACACCGCTGAAACGACGGGGATCGGTAGCATCGGTAACCACACTCTCAACAATGCTGCCGACGTAGCTTGGCTTTCGCTCCGTGCCGGCATTGCTCTCTTCGTACACTGTTTCCCGTTCGGTACCGGCATTGCTTTCGGCGTAGCTGGTCTTTCGGTCCGAAGGAGCATTGCTAGGGGCATAGCTTGACTTCCGGTCGGTGGGAGCGTTGCTCTCAGCATAGCTCGTCTTGCGGTCTGACGGAGCATGACTCTCTGCGTAGTTGGACTTCCGCTCGGTTCCAGCGTAGCTTGTCTTGCGCTGAGGCTCAGCTTCGCTCTCTGGTTCGCTGGCAAGCTCATCCTCCTCGTGGAAAGGCTCGTTCTCTTTGTTGGTGACAGAGGATCGACCAGCCCATGAAGTGTTGCGTAGGGCATTCGACTTAACCGAATGGCTGCGCTTCAGGTTCGTAATACCGGTGTTGGAACTGACTTGGCGGTCTGCACCTCGATTGCCTGTGACGTGACTCAAGCTGAGAATTCGGCGTTCCTTTCCAATGTTAGGCTGCACAGCAACTGTTCCTGCTTGAAGAGAGGTGGGCATCCTGCGCTTCAGAGCAATGCCAACGCCATTGCCGAGGAGACTGCGGGTGTCCTTGGGGTCCTTAGCGGTGCTAGCGGTGCTCGCCGCACTGGGGCTGCGGGCACCCGAGCGAGAGGTACGGTTGCTGCGAGTGCTTCGGTTTCTCTTCAGGTTCATAGCCTGCAAGCTGTTGGACCGGCTAAGAAGAACAGTGCGGGCATGGTCGAGCACCCCCTCCAGAATGCGCTTCTCGAGGCCGTCGGCACGATCCTCCATCTGTCGCATTTCTTCATGGCGAATCTCGAGGGCTGTCTCAAGACCAGACAGATCCCTGCTGAGCTTGTTGTTCTGTTTGATCATGTCTTCCTTCTCCGCTCTCAGACGGTGGATCATGGTCAGAAGGGAATCCTTCTCTTCGCTCAAGTTGACAATCTCGGCTTCAACTTGCTCGCGCTGTGCGACTCTCCGCTCCAAAGCGATGCCAGCCTCCTCGGCTTCACGACGCTTTCTCTCGGTATCTTCAGCAACAATCACTGACTGAGCTGTAAACATCTCGTTCATTCGGCGTGCGTTCTCCATGATGTCCTTGTGCATTTCATCAAGCTTCATCATTTGAGTAACCGATTGTTCGGGATCCGTTGCATGAGTGGGGCGGCTTAGAAGAGCATCCAGCTTTTCATGCACAGGACCAGAACCGTTGGTGGCATGATCTAAAAGCTGGTTGAGCTTTTCATAGATTTGGCTATTGGAGTCTGACCCTTGGTCTAGAGCACGGTCAAGCTTTTCGTGGAGCTCCTCATTCCTGGCGCTCTCAAACAAAGCCCGATCAAGCTTCTCATGGAGCTCATCGTCTTTTATGGGCTGAAGCAAAGCCCGGTCGAGCTTTTCATGAACATCCTCATTCTTGGAGTGCTCAAGCAGAGTCTTCAGGATATCATGAACTTGACTGTTTCTAGCATGCTCCAACAGATCGTCGAGCTTGCTATGGACAGGAGTGTCCTCTATGGCAAGTGTACGGCTTGTCTCCTCGGGCTCGGGCTCAGGCGGAGGAAGCGCAGGGAGCATCTGAGGTATGTTGGCTGGCAGAGCCGACAGCTCCGACTTGAACTCTTCAGCTGACTTCTGCGAGTGATCGTAGTGCTGGCTGACAATTGTTAAAATTTCCTGCACACTCTCCAGGATCTGCGGGTGGAACTCGAGAAGCTTGCTCTCCACTCGATCAGTGGCAGCAACAGTCTTCTCGGTATCAGCCTGGGACTGCTCCCGATGAGACTTCACATCGTTATGCATCTCCTCCATTTGCTGGCGAGACTCGTTAACACGCTCGAGCAGGACTTTGGTTTCCTCGCTCATACGTTCGCAGGTCTCGTTGACGGTATCACCCATAGAACCGATCACGAGTTTGATGTCTTCAGCAAGACTCTTGGTACTCGTGAGCGATTCGGTGTGTGCCAGGTCTCGCTCCTCGGTTTCGGAGAACTTTGAGTGGAGCGAGGTGTGCGCCTCTTCGTATTTGGCCAAGACTTCTGCAATCTTCTCATCAATCTTGGCTCCGAGTTCGACAATAATAGCAGCCCGTGTCTCGTCATGTTTGACGATAGCAGCAGCGTCGCGCTCC